AACAATGCCAGACAGGCGATACCTTCTTTTGAGTTGTTGGCCAGGGTGGCCAAAGGGATTCCCAGATAGTAAGCCAGCATAGAACTGGGAAAATGAACAGCAGACCTCAATCTTATCTAAAGGAATATTGACAACCAATTGCTGCTAGATGAGGAACAGCTGACCTTCCTAAAACAAAGACCTCTAGGTAGGTCTTTGTTTTGTAGATGGACAAGTAGTGGGGAATGGCTGGGAGTAATGACATCACAGTAGACAGTAGCGCAGGGATATCAGTATAAGGGCTCTAGTGGTGGGGAGGGAGGTTATGGGAGGGTGCTATCTGGGAAGTGGGTGTAAAAATTAATGAGATGGTTTGGGATTTTCTGCGTGATATACACACACAAAAAAATCAACAAATTTTTGAAAAAATGTATTGTATTTGAGGAGGAAGCATGGAAATTTATGTCATCTGCTAGATGACTTTATAGACATGCTCAGGTGCCAAGGATCCAAATGCAACTGATTATGACTAGTAATAATCAGATACACATAGATTAGAGATGCAAGCACCAACATCTCAGTGTTAGTAGCAAAAACAATGAGTCTGTCTGCAAGGAACAATATATTCTAAAATGAAATGGAGATCTTTTTTAAAGGTTAAAAAAACTCATCCAATTTTATGTTGACCTTCCTAAAAAAGACCTCTAGATAGGCTGACTAGATTCACCAGATGGACAAGTAGTGGGGAACAGCTGGGGGTGCCAACCACACAGCAGACAGTAGCAGGGATATCAGTATAAGGGCTCTAGTGGTGGGGAGGGAGGTTATGGGAGGGTGCTATCTGGGAAGTGGGTGTAAAAATTAAAAAAAAAATTCAAGCGAATAAAACAAAGAAACAAAAACAACAACAATAACAACAAAAGATTTTAGGGTTACCTCTTCAGAGGGGAGAATGTTGGCAGGGAAGGAGTGGGCATGGATTTGATCAAAACACCTTATATGCATGTATGAAATTCTCAATAAAGTTTTTGTAAAAATTTTAAAAAAGAGCTGGGTGTGGTGGCACATGCCTGTAGTTCCAGCACTTGGGAGGCAGAGGTAGGCGGATCTCTGAGTTCAAGGCCAGCCTCTGGTCTATACAGTGAGTTCTAGGCCAGCTGGGCTCAGGGAGACCCTGTCTCAAAAAGACAAAAAAAAATCTGCAAGTCATGAGTCAAAAAAGAAAAAAAAGAAAGTATACTGAATTTTACAAATACCGAAATCGTTTCATGAATACAGACTGGTGATCTGAAAACATCCTCTGAGGATAAAGAAGATTATTAACTTCAACAATTTCTCAGGCCAAACACAGTACTGCTCACCTGTAGTTCCAGCTACCTAGTAGGCTGATTAGAAGCACTGACTGCATTTACATATTGACTGATCAACTGCTGATGCTAGAGACTGCATGTAGGGGCCTTTTCCATACTAGGCATGTGCTCTACCACTGAGTTTCCCCTAGTCTTTAATTGAACTTACAGAGATCCACTTTCCACTTGCCTCTTCTTCCTGAGTGCTGGGATTGAACGTGTGTACCATTATGCCTGGTTAAATACTGATTTTTTTTTTCTTTCTTTTTTTTCTTTGAGTCAGCGTCTCACTGTGTAGTCCCAGCTGACCTGGAACTCACTATGTAAAACATCCCAGGCTGGCCTTCACTTGCTTCTGCTTCCATTGAGTGCTGGGATTAAAGGCATATGTTACCACACTTAGCAAATAGTGATTTTTTTTTAAAATATTTTATTTATTTTTTTAGTGTATGAGTGTATTCCCTGCATGTAGTCAAGTGCACCCCTGTCGTGCAATGCCCGGGGAAGACAGAAGAGGCCATTGGATCCCTTGGAACTGGAGTTATGGACATTTGTTACCTGCCATGTGGATGCTGTGATTCGAATCCGGGTCTTCTGCAAGAACAACCATTGTTCTTAACCACTGAGCCATCTCTTCAGCCCCAATAGTGATTTTTTTTAAATATGTAATTTATATCTTATGTTTGCCAATCCAAAAAGGTCCAGATGTTCCAAATGTCTACTGTGGCTTCTAACTGGACTGTGTTACAGTTTCGTTTATTTAATTTATTTATTTTGGTCTTTTTGAGACAGGTCTCCCTGTAGCTCCAGCTGTCTTGGAACTTACTATGTATACCAGGCTGGCCTTGAACTCACAGAGATCGGGCTGCCTGTGCCTCCCGAGTGCTGGGATTAAACGTGTGTGCCACCACGCCGGGCACAGTTTCATTTATAGTAAGAATTAAATTTTAAGTATTTAAAAAGGAGTAAAAAAAATGGAAAGCAGATTCAACTTACTTAATAGACAAAGCTGTTTCAGGACAAGAGACACACATGCTGATTTTTGCTACATTTAAATCAAAATGATATGAACACACTATCTTCATTTGTATAGTGGTTTTTTTTGAGGCAGGGTGTCACTATGTTACCAAGGTTGACCTTAAAACTTCTGGGTTCAAGCAATCATCCTGCCCCAGGCTCCTAAGCAGCGGGGACTGCAGGTGTTGACACTGCTTGGCCTGAGAATCCACTGTTAAAACAGAGTAGTCTTACTCTCAGGTGATCTGTTTCTAGACCACTAGTAAACAAAGACTTGTAATTACGAAACAGAACTAAACTCTGGATACCCTGTTTTCCCATGTCTATATATAGCTGTCATGAAGTTTAGTTTATAAATGAGGCACAGCAAGAGATCAATAGTAACTAATGTAAAACAGAACAAGCATTGAGAATATACTATAATAGCCAGGTATGCTGGCACATGCCTTTAGTCCAAGCACTCAGGAGGCAAAAGCAGGCGGAGCTCTGTGAGATTGAGGCCAGCCTGGTCTACGGAATGAGTCCAGGCCAGCTAGGGCTGCAGGGAGACCCTGTCTCAGACCAAAAACCCAAACCAAAACTAAACAAAACAAAAAGAGTAATAATACTATAATAAGAGTAATGTGAATATGGTCTCTTCCTCTCAACTATCACGAGATTAGCATATACAGAGAGGATACACAGGAAAAAGCAATAATTCATGTCCTGGATAGGGTCAGGCAGGACAATACAACATTTCATAACACTACTCAGAGCAGTGTGCAATCTCTACTATATTTACTTATATTTTAGTTTTCCATAGACTACTTTGGGATTGCACTTGAATGTGGGCCACAAATCACAGCAAGTGCAACCATGGTTACAAGAGGACTGCTGTGACTGTGATATTCCTGCAGTTCTGAAAGGTGAGCTGCACGTACCTTGAAAGCTTTGTTAGTGTCTGCGGGCATGGCCATGGCTGCTCCGGTCATCTGCTCCTGCATCATTCGTGATTGGTCAGCAGCTGCAGCATAAGACAGGTCTAGTGAGTGCCAAGGCTCAAACAAGTACCCAGCACCCTTGTGGAAGAGTAACCATCACAAAGCATTTGTAGCTACAAATGCTTGGTGGTGGATTTTAGAACTGGACAGCTGACTGGCCCTATCACTCCTGGCTATGTGATTTTGTTTTTTTGGGTCTTTTTAAGACAGGGTCTCCCTTCTAGCCCCAGCTGGCCTGGAACTCACTATGTAGACCAGGTTGGCCTTGAACTCACAAAGAGCCTCCTGGGTGCTGGGATTAAAGGCGTGCACCACCATGCCTGGCCAACTTTGTGATTTTGGGAAAGTTACATTACTCTTGAAAAATGGGGATGATTACAGCCAGAACGCAAGGCCAACTAAAGGATGCTCTAGAGTTTATTTTAAATGTCAACACAAGTCACCAGTTATTGAGGAACGCTTGAATGAAGTATTTATGTATTATTTTTATTCCATAAGTATATTGCCTACATATATGTAAGTACACCCATGTTGTGCAATGCATGCAGAGGTCAGAAGAGGGCATCAGATCCCCTGGAACTGGAGTTACTGACGATTGTTAGCTGCCATGTGGGTGATGGGAATGAAATCTCAGTCCTCTGCAAGTGCAGTCAGTGTTCTTAATCGCTGAGCCCTCTCTCCAACCCCATGAACTAGGTATTTCACTAATTATCCTTTATCTGTGTTAAAAAGTGTCTGTGTCTGAGGTCCTCACCACTGAACGAGAGCCAGGCTTAGCAACAAATGTTGCTCAGTGATTGCCAGGGGAATTTCTCATATTCAGTTAGAACTTTGGAATTTTTCAGACCTCAGAATACCTCAGAAGCTTAAGGAATGAAGCACTGTGTGTGACTATGCTAACAAACAGTGGAGCTATATGATTTTCCCCGCTTCAGCAGGAAGTATCTATTTAGCAAACCTCACATGCTTCTTACCATTATCTTGGCCAAGAATTAAAGAGTAAATGCTGCGAAGTCCAAATACATTGAGGAAGTACCAGGATGCAGAACTCACCCTAGCAAAAAGCAAGAGGGAAAGTGGAAGAGAATTATTTGGGAAATCAATTTAGCTCACACTTCCGCACCACCCAGAACTGGTCAGCATACCTAAGAAACTCCCCAGTCAGGCTCTAGGCAGCCAAGGCACAACAAAAGAATAAATGGAGATGATAAGGCAGATGCAGACTTACAACATTCAAGTATAATGAAGAAACAGAAAAAGGACACCTATCCGGAACCCCATCCTCTAGGGAAGTCAAGTGCTGCTGTTTGTGTGCTCCACACTCAGGAGAAAGCACCAGGGTGGCTTTCTGGAAGTATTTGCAATGCTGACGATTACAGCTACTGGCAAAGCAGTGCAGATTTGGCCCATTATCATCAAGGCCTTTTTCTCAGGTTTCCCACAGTACTTGAGGAACCCATATACAGGCTTGTATGTAATAAAAGCTAAAGGGACTATGAAAAATGATACACAAATGGAAAGATTCTGCAGTCCACTGGGTCACAGCAGGAGTAGATTCTGGTTCCTCCCTTGGGCTGCAGGTAAGAAAAAACTTGCCTCTGCAACAATGATACCTGCAGCAGTAACATCAATGTGTGTGCTGCCTCAGTAACTGTACAGTTGGGCACATCTTCCCTCTGTCCACTCAAGTGTGTCTGACACACATCTGCCCAAATGCTGAGAAAATATAAGGAAGCTTTTCTCTAACCCATGACATTTTTGCTTAGCCCAAATGAACCTCGCAGGTAAAAGTTTAAGTCATACAGCTCATGAAGTATAGCTTTTCTCTTCCTGCAGAGCTGGGCAGAGCCGAAACTCCCTGGAATCTACTCTGCCCTTAGCTGACACAACCAGAGATGGTTCTGTTCAAACCAGGTGGGTCAGAATCTCCACCAGTGACCCTCCTTCCTCTTCTTCTTGCCTTTGTTTTTAGACCAGTGCTTGAGTAGCCATACACAGGACAGTGTGGAAGGACCATGTAAAGCATTGTTACTGTGTGGTGGGTACTGTAGCAGTGTTTCCTAAGGGAGATTGGATTCTGGCTTATTATTCTACTATAAATAAATAGAGTGGTAAACAGGTGCTAAGGATTGCTGTGGACAGGCTGCGTGTGGACCAATATTAATTTTTTCAACATAGCTCACAGGGTTGCTGTGAGGACAAGATATGGAAAACCCCTGGCATGATGACTAGAACTAAAACTATAGTATAGACATTCTGTAATTTGGCTGTGGAGAGTCCTCTAAAGAGACCCATGTGCTGAAGGCCTGGTCCCCAGTCCCTGTTGCTACCAGGAGGTGGTGGAGCCTTTAGGAGATGAGGCCTAGTGTGCAACTTTAGGTCACTGGAGGCATGTTCTCAGAGGGGACTGTGGGGGACTGGAGTCTGTCTTTCTCTCTTGTGCTGTGATCATGAAGTGAGCACTTAACTTCATATATGCTGCTGCCATGATCTACCTCATCACAGGCCCAAAGCAATGAGGCCAGTGGGTTGTGAACTGAGCCGCCAAAACTGTGAGCTAAACACACCTTTCCTCTAAAGGCTGATCACCTCAGTATTTGTTACAGAAAGCTCACTAACACAAACTTCACTCTCATGAGCTTAAGGGGATTGCTAAAAAAGGGTTTCCTGGCCAGATTGCTTAATTGTTCCATTTTGAGAGGGTAGGGTCAAACACCTCCACCCCTGCATTCCTAAGCTCTAAGAAAAGAGGCTGACAAGGTCTCTTTTTTGCAATGTTCATGTAAAATTGCCTTAATTGAGAAGTGGCATTTTAAATGTGCTTTGAATAAACACCACCACCAAAAAAACCCATGTCTTTGTTTTCATCAGATAGAAGGAAGACTTACCAGGATGCATCTAACGTGAGCAGCTCTATTCCTTGTTGTAGCATAGGCTTAAAGCGAAGTGTCAGTGGAAATGGGACCTTGGCTGCAGGGGAAAAAGAGAAACATCATTTTTTGCTTTGAGAAAGAAAAAGTTCCCAAGCACTCCAAGCCATTTTATTTTTAGAGCAACTGAAGTGTGAATGCACTTCTCCCCAGTAGGTGGGAACTGTGTGCTATATGGCTTCTGGAAAATGATTTCCACAAGGAAATCAGTGGCTGCCTCTGAGGAACAGAACAGTCAAAATGTCACTCTGCTCTGATTCCTTGAATGACACCAGCTTTTAGACCAGAATGCAGGCACTCAGGCTGGACTGTGACCTGATATGTGAAAGAAATGTGTACAGATCCATTAAACGCTAAGTGGGTATATACACAGAGAATGACCTCACTAACCCAAACTCATTACAGTCCAGTCAAATCAACCCATACCATACCATACCATACCAAACCATACCATACCATACCATTCCATTTGTGGGTCAATCAAATCAACCCACACCATAACAGCTGTGAATGCTAACTTACAATTCACTTGTTTGTGTCTCCAGTAGTAACAAAAGGTCCACACTGAGAACTCAGGATCAACTTTGAACAGATGCACTAAATATCTGTGGTTGCCATTTTTACAAGAATACATAAGACCTATATTAGGGTCTCAGTAGAAGAAGAAGGAACACAGATAAAAGCACAAAGCATGCTAGATCTGTAACTTACTTGTGACAAAGCCTGAAAACGTCATGTTGATCCATCCACCAATAAGAATCATAGGGAGGACATTCGTGACATTCCCTTTCATCATGTCTGTGAGCATGGTGGGATCTAAGACAAGCCCAGAAAGAATATGAGGTTGGCCCATGGTTGGTAGAGACTTTTTCCATAATTTAAGTCAGACAAATTTTTCAATGGTGGTTTTCTTTTGAGACAGGGTCTCATTATGTAGCCCTGGCTAGCCAGGAACATATAAAACAGGCTGGCCTAAACTCACAATAACCTACCTGCCTCTGCCTCCCAAGTGCTGGGATTAAAGGCATGAACGACTACGCTCAGCCAGTTCAAATATTCTAAAAATATAAGATGAAGACAGTGCCTCTCAGCCCATGTTCTAGACCCTTTGGACTGGCTGCTGCATATCCTCTCACCTTTCAATTTGTCTTTCAAAAATTAATAATTTTATGAAGATGTAGCCCATGGGAAGAGTATTTGCCTAACATGCACAAGGCAATGGATTGATTCCCCAGTACAAAAACCAAACCAAAGCAAAACAAAACAAAAAAAATTAATTTTCGGATGGGATTCCACAGTCATGATAGCTATCTTTCAGTATTTTCAATCTTAACTTTTTTTTTTTTTTTTTTTCGCAAGAAACAACACTACTACTTTGTAATAGGTCAATCTTTGTAATAGGATCAATCTGCATGCTTGTATGTTTCTCTAGAAATCATTCTTAGAAAAAAATTTGGGTCAAAGGGTTTATATGTTTAAAACTGATAGATATTAGGGTCTAGGTGTAGCTCAGTGCTGGGATGCTTGTGTAGCATGCTCAACGCCCCAGATTTGATATCAAGTTCAGGTGGGGAGAGAAGATACTATGAGACTGTCCAACAAGGCTCCACCATTTGGTATTCTCACCAATAGCAACAGCCGTAACTTTCCTTGACCTTAACAGTAGCAGCTTTAACAATCTTTAAATTTTTGTCAATTTAACAGGCTACAAAATGACATCTTGTTTTTACTTGTATTCCCTGGATTATCGAGGTCAATTATCTTTCTATATAAATATTGGCCTTTCATTCCTCATAAGCATCAACTCTATTATCTTCTGTATGGGTTTGAAAGAACTAGTTATATCACCTAGAGGAAAGAGTACTGAAAAAAGGGGATGGTCAACAGGGGACAACAAACTGTTTTGATTTACTTTCCCATATGTTGTATATTTCACAAAATAGGGATTAGTGAAGCCAGAAGTTAGGGCAGGAACTGTAGATTGGATCATGTCTGGCAAAGGAACAACTGCTCTTGGGAAGGAGGGAGTTTGTCACTCAGGCACAAGTGGGGTACCCACTTGGGGTCAGCAAGAGATCCAGGCTCTGGTGGAAGCTGGTCCTGAGGAAGAACAGCATAGAAAGACCAGACATAGTGGCTCTGGTCTCCCTCAACACCAGCTGAGAGCTTTTTCTAAAACCCACCTGATATACTCGGGTTACCAGATTTATTGGAAAAAGAGCTCCACTTTCATAGATCCCTATATTAGGGGCTGGGGGTATAGCTCGTGGTGGAGTGCTTGCCTAGCATGTGGAAAGCCTTGGGTTTCATCCTAAGCATTACAAAAAACCCTCAAAAAACAGCCCCCCACACCCAAATCCCATAGGTAATTTGATGATTTCTAGGGTCCTTTCCATTATGATCTCCTATAATTTAATACCTTCAGTAAAACTACCTATGTTGCTATCCTTTTTACAAGTGAGAGAAAGGAAAATACATACCAGTCATAGGAGAAGGTGGTACAACCTTCCTTTTAGTTTTCTTGAAAAATCCATCCTCTGGGTTGTTGAAGTAATATTTTCGTGTTAAGAAAGACTAGTGGGAGGGGGGGAAAAAAAGCTTTCAAATATAAGAACTGTGATTAGTAAATCATCAGATTATCCCCCAGAGGACTGACCAAAAGGCCCTTGGAATATGCTTCTAGACTGAGTTGTCAGTCTCCTTGGCAGCCCACCGGACACTAGTTGAGTCACATTTAAAAAGTTTCCTAAGAAGGGTGAGGTCACAGTGACAGCAAATGCCACCAGGCCACAGCTTAATCACTGCATCGCCAGCCTTCAGCTTTCTCTAGAGTTCTCTTATAAAACAGTTAGGAATCTCTTGCCCTCAGTGGTGAATGGTGGAGCTTTTTAATAAAAGATAAATGAATACCTGTTTGGGAATGTATTTTCCATTTTCCCTGAGGACTCTGCTTCGAATTAGAACTTGACTGAAAAATATAATCAAAACAAAGAGATGTTAAAAAGTGAAACACTAGAAGAAAATGAAAGAAAAGTAGAAGACCTATTTAAACACAAGAGAGGATCTATTTGGCAATAGCTGTGTGTGGAAACTTTCCAAAAGTCTAGTATCATAAAAAAACAATGAAACATGCTTAATTCAATGCTCAGATTTTCAAAAAAGCAGCCTTCCAGAATGGCTATGGTTCAGAACAAAGATTTCTGGAGAATGACATTTGGGATATATCCAGCCTTTTCTGGATTCAACATGACCCACGAAGGAACTTTCTTTGCATGAAACAAAGAGCCTTGGATACTGCTCCAAAGATGTGGGGGCAGGAGGAGGGTGAAGGTAAAAGAAGGAACTTCACTGACTTTAGAGAAATGAGGGCAGACCTTAGTAAGGTTTTACCTGACAGACAATAAATAAAAATGCCACCCAGGACTCAGACCAAGTTCCCAGTAAACATTTATTGAATAAATTATTGGTAATTTTAAAGCAAATAATAAGCAATAGAGAGGCCAAAATACTGTTTTCCCCCCTAGGTTTCTTTTTTAAATATTTTATTTAATGTTTATGCATGTATTGCCTGCACGTAGGTAAGTGCACCCGTGTCCTGCAATGCCTGCAGAGGACAGAAAAGGCTGTCGGAATCCCTGGAATTGGACTGGAATTACCGACAGTTGTTAGCTGCCATGTGGGTGCTGGGATTCAAACCTGGGTCTTCTGCAAGAACAGTCAGTGTTCTTAACCGCTGAGCCATCTCTCCAGCCCCCAACCCCCTAGGTTTTCAAAAGTTGTTTAAAGGCGGTAAAAGCCCTTAAATCAATGGAAATCCTTTTAAAAAGAGAGCGAAAAAAATGTAGGCAGAAACAAACACAAGACAACTATGTTCAGCTTTCTCTTTCTTCCTTGATACAAACCACCTGCTCCAAATGGTCAGGACCCATGAGGTTGGCTTGTCACCCTCTATATACCCAGCTGCTGCGTGTGCTGGGAGTGCTCTGCTGCCAGTCTCCTTTGCAAGTTCTACTCTCTCACGTCTGAACTCCTTCCTCAAGCCCCATCTTCTGCACAAATTTCTTCCCAAGGCCTGACACCCTGGTGGAATGCCATCTGGTTTTCCTCTTCTTAGACCCATAACATCATATAGCTGTCTTTATACAAAGGCCCACAGAAGAGCTGTGTAATATGCTCTGTTTTGAGCAGGAGAGATGGCTCAGGGGCTAAGAGAACTCGACGCTCTTGCAGAGGACCCAGATTTGGCACCAATATGGCAGCCTACAACTGCCTATAACTCCAGCTCCAGGGAATCCAATACCTTTTTCTGGCTTCTGTGGGCACTGTGCACATATGGTGCACTGACATACATGCAGGCAAAACACTCATACTCACATAATATATAATATATATATGCTCTGTTTTCTATAGATTCGCAGTATGGTTGATATACCAAGCTCCTCTATGACAAGGTAAGTCCAGAGTAAGAGTTTAGAGATTATAATCATTTGTCTATGTTCAGACCTTGTCCCTACTACTTATTACCTATGTGATCTTGGGCAAGTCATTTAAATTCCCTTAGCTGTCACTCACTAAATCTCATAGATTTAGATGTCCACTGCATAAGTAGTTCTTAAACTTCTAAGTGCCAGATACTGTATGAGTGACATAAATAGTAGTGATCAAAATGGAAACATCCTGGTGCTTAAAGTCTATCCTGAGACAAAGAAATTAATCAAATAAGCAGTGTGGTAGCACTCTGAGGGTGGAAGCAGGAGGATCAGGAGTTCAAAGTCATCTCTGGCTACACAGCAAGTTTGAGGCCAGCCTGAGCTACATGAAATATTGCCTCAAAAACAAAACACAACAAAACAAAATGAGAAACAAAACAGCAAAACCCTACAAGAGTAAATATAATGGCATCGTGGGAATGTGTGAAGAGGGAGCTGATGCACTCTGGGAAGTCATAGTCTGAGAGGAGATGTTAAGTATGTAGGATTAAGTAGGAATCTTAAGGATGGGTGTGGATTACCTTGCCAAAGTGCCGAGGCGTGTGATGGACCAAGGCCCGTGGCAGAATCAATGCTATAAGGACCCGAGAAGAAGCCATACACAAGAAAATGAGGCTGAAAGAGTGAGCAGGAGCTAGATAATGCAATGCAATATAGGTCCCATTGTGTAAGATCACGCTCTTATGAGCAGAAGTCAAACACTGACGGGCTTGAAGCTGAGTCTGTCATATAGCATCTCATTTGATTTTTAACATCTATTTATTGATTTTTTGTGTATGTATATATATATATATGCATGTATGTATGTATGTATGTATGTATGTATGGTTACAGGTGTTTGCATGCCACCAAGTATATGTAGAGGGTCAAAGGAAAACTAATAGGAGTCAGTTCTCCCCTTCTACCACGTAGGTCCTGAGGAATTGAACTCAGGTCATCAGGCTTGGTAGTGGGTGCCTTTACCTGCTATCTCTCCGGCCCTATCATTTCATTTGAAGAGGTTACTGCTGCACATACTAGGTGCTAAATCAGTGGCATCTATTCTCCCTCTGTGTATGTTTTATCACTTGGACTGAAACTGAGAACAAGGGCTTGGCATTGTCTTTCTTTGTACCTCACAGCGTACAGCAGTGTAGAGTTGGCCAACCGTAAAAACTTGTTCACTGTATGATAATCCAGGGCTTTATCGACATTATGAACAGAATTTCAGCTACAATTCCTGAACTGGAAACTACAGAGGAATTTTAGAGATTGGAGGTTGAGAGCTGTGATCTAGGCAAGCTTTAATTAGCCTGTATATTCTAAATGCTCAATTTCTTAAGCTGAGATCCATCGTATAGTCTCCAAAGTGTAAAATTAATTTTGCATATTCATTTCCATGAATATCTAAAAATAAGTCCTTGTACTAGGTAGCTTTGGTAATTTGCAATTAAAAGACATTCTCTTAGAATAAAAGTTTTTTGGCCTTTTTTGAGACAGGGTCTCCCTGTAGTCCCAGCTGGACTAGAACTCATGATGTAGATCAGTCTGGCCTTGAACTCACAGGGATCTGCCTGCTTCTGCCTCCCAAGTGCTGGGATTAAAGGTATGCGCACCACACACCTGGATGGAATAAAACTTTTTATAAACCTATGTAGTACTGGTCTTTTTTTTTTTTTTTAAACTATGTAAGCTGGCCTTGAATTGATAATCCTTCTGCCTCAGCCTCCTGAGTACTGGGAATAAAGGTATGTATTACTACATGTGGCATAACTTTAAATTTTTCTTTTACACACATATGCACATATATTTAGTGGGGGGAGGGACACACATCCTATGGTGATGGTCAAAGAACAACTTGAAGAAGTCAGTTTTTTCATTCCATCATGTGGGTTCTGCAGATTAAACTCAGCTTGTCAGGCTTGGTGGCATGGTGGCAAGCACTCTTACCTGCTGACCCATCTCACAGCTCAAAATATTATTTTTTGTTTTCTTTGAGACAAGGTCACTATATGGTTCTAGCTGGCCTGGAACTCACTATGTAGACCAGGTTAGCCTCATGCCTCTGCCTCCTGAGTGCTGGGATTAAAGGCATGTGTTACCATGCCTGGCAAAACTTTCATTTAAAAAAATTTTATTATTTTTATTTTATGTCTATGAGTTTATTGCCTGCATGTATGTATGTGCACCTTGTTGTGCAATGCCTGAGGTCAGAAGAGGGCATCGGATTCCCCTAGAACTGTAGTTACGGACAGCTGTTAGCCACCATGTGGGTCCTGGAACTCGAACCTAGGTCCTCTGCAAGAGCAGTCAGTGTTCTTAATCCCTGAGACATCTCTCTAGCCCCTAAAACTTTAGTTTTTAAAGTCAGTACTTTTCACACTGAAGCACCCAATTCTAAAGGATCTGTGACTTTTTTTTCTCTTCTTCAAAGAATCAGTATATTCTTTGAGTTTGAGAACCATTTTTTTTTACATACATTCTGTCTCCCAAATATAGTCTAATATGTTCTACTCATGTATATTTTGTTTTTTTTTTTTTGGACAAGGTTCCCCCTGCCCCCCAATCTGGAACTCACTATGTAGACAAGGCTGGCCTTAATCTCACAGAGATCGGCCTGCCTCTGCCTCCCAAGTACTGGGATTCAAGGTTTATGCCACCATGCCTGGACTCTGATCAGTTCTGAAACTGATGCTACAAAAAATAATTACAGTGACCACTGTGGGAGAGTAGAAAGAACCTGAGTAGAAAGAACCACAAGATTTGGCTTAAAGTCATCAATTGGAACTTCTTTAAAGCCTCAATTTCTTTAATATGAGACCGCAGTATCTACCTTATTGAGGTGCTTGTAAGTGCTTACCATAGTACCTGGTTCAGAATGTTTCATAAAGTTGACTTATTATTAGTATATGCAGCATAATCAGGACAGACAACTCAAAGTTGCTGGGGGACAGTGTCTTATGTAGTCCAGGCTGGCTTCCAACTTGGTAGGTAGCTGAGGATAACCATGAACGTCCAGTCTCCAGCTCTGAGTGCTGGAATTATAAGCATGTATTGCTATGCCTGGTTTGTACCAGGCTGACGACTGAACCCAGGGCTTCATACATATTAGGCAAGCACTCTACCAGCTAACCTACATCCCCATCTCACTACTTACATCGTTTTAATTTAAAGCAACTGTTAAATCACCAGCAAATGGAAATCCAAAATTATTTGCTACAAAAACAAAGCAACTTTAAATACAATAAAATAGAACATTATTTTCACTGTCATCTGTGGAGACTTTGGAACCTGGGACTTATTCTCCTAAGTGAATGCAAGATTTTAAAGAAATAGCAGCACTTTCTTATGATATTCCCAGAAACTAACTGGAACAATTGAAAAACCGTTATTTATTTTCATGTGGAGGTACTGTTTGAAGTCATGTCAAAATCCTATCTCCACAGAAGAATGCTGTGAGAAAGCATCTGAGGAAGAAGCTGCCTCCACTTGAGGAGGCGAAACGATCATTACAACTCCTCACATCTCTTAGAGGCTGTCATACAGCTTGCCAGTCACTTTGTTAGCATCGAAGCATACCACTACGGGAGAATGTAGATTATGACATCCACTTGATTGGATGTTACAAGGACTAAGGGCAGTAATGCAACCTTGGACTCAGGAGGCACTCATCCTAACAAAAGAACAGAGCAGGAGAGTTCACAGGTAACCTCGCTGAGCGTCAACCACTAGCCTAACAAGATTTACGACTTTTACTTCAACACTTAGTATAGTATGTCCCAGGCTCTGTGCTAAAGGCTTTTCAGATACCTTATTTAACCCACACGCCTGTTCCACCAGTTAGGTAAGAACTGTTACCGTTCCCATTTTACAGATGACAAAAGTGAAACATAGAGATAAGCGCCAAGGTCAACGTACCAGTCGGGCGCGATGTGAACTCAGGCAAAGTGACAGTACCCCTGCACTTTCTTGACCAAGGTCACGGAGGAGTAAGGTCGGTAAGGCAGGGAGAGGGTACTGACCTGTCAGACACTTGTTCCTGGGTGAGCTTCTTGTCGCTCTGCAGCAGGATGGACACGTAGTGGCGGATCATGCCCACGAAGAAAGTGATGATAACGATGGGCAGGACCACCCAGAGGCGGATGTTGGAGTCGAGCAGCAGCTCAGGACCCGCCATCTTCGCTGAGAGTTGGCTACGGGTTGGGAGTAGTTGGGTTCCCCTCAGATTTCGGTTCCGGGCCTTCTCCCGCCCCTCAGCCTGGCTGGTGTGGAATTTTAGGCAGCCTCACTCGCTTCACCACGCACTGTTTCCAGCTGGGCCACCCGGCCGCCGACTTCCGGCGTGGAAGCGTGACGCCACGCCGCGGCGGGCTTCGATGACGCTAAGCGGCGTCGCGCCGGGCGGGAAAGTCGAAAGCGAGGGGCAGAGACGGGCAGTTGGTGGGTGAGTGGCGTCGCGCCCCTGGCCTACGGTCCAGGCCCTAGCCTTGCTCGACCTGTGTCTCGCAGCCCCGCGGCCCAGCCACGGTGTCCTCGTCGGACTGTCGCGGGATAGCCCTCTCAGGTACCGCCTTATGTGGATCACATGACGAAGTGAGGAGGGCGTTTTCCCGCAAACGTTTTGCAGGGCCTGGGCCCTTCTGCCTGCTTAACCCTGGGGCTTTTAGGCTTCTTTTGAAAACGAGTAGATGTCAAACGTCTTGCTCCAGAGTCCGACGGCTCTGACTTGCGCTAGTCCTTTTTCCAACCGAAAAATGGCTCTCAGCGGTTCCATGTATTGTAAGAGAATGCGTGATAAGAAACGTGGCATAAGAAATGTTCCTTTTTTAAAGACAGGGTTTCCCTGTAGCCGCAGCTGCCTGCTACTCGCAACGTAGACCAGACTGACCTCCATCTCAGAGAGACCCGCCTGCCTCTGCTTGCTGAGTGCTGGGATTCAAGGCCTGCTCCGCCTTGCCTGGCAAGAAACGTTAACTCTTAATAGTGGCCATTGTTGTTATAATTAAAGAGTTAAGTGTCAGTTACAGTTAGCACCTGTGCTGGCTAGGCAGGGCATTGCTTGTTGGTTGCACTCTGAGGTGGAAGCTGGAAGAGGCTTTGAGTGCTACCATGAGACTTGGTCAAAAACTTTAAAAATAGAAATAAAGGAGGAAGAGCCACAAATTCTGGAGCTAGGCTGTCAGACTTAGGATCCCAGCTCTGTCCATGATTAATTAGGATCGTACTAATGGTACCTGTCTCAAGCAGTTTTGTGAGAAATAAATTATGTTCAAAACACAACAGGTTTTTGTTTTGAGACAGGGCCTCAGTATATAGCCCTAACTGGCCTGGAACTATTTACACCAGGATGCCGTCACACTCAGAGATCTACTTGCTTCTACCTCCCAAGTGCTAAAATCAAAGGTGGATGCCAGGACACTCAAATTTAAGACAGTTTTTTTATTAACTATAAATATTTTTACCTACTCTTGTCAGCTAATCTTACTCAGCCAATATTCTCAAATTTTAAAAAATTTTGGTAGTGGACATTGAACCCAGAGCCTTTTGCGTGCTAGGCAGATTAGCTATATTCCAAGCCCCATAAATTAACCACTGGAGAGATGGCTCAGGGGTTAAGAGCACTGACTGCTCTTGCAAGAGGACCCGGGTTTGATTTCCAACTCCCACATGGTGGCTATGAACCATCCTTAACTCCAGTTCCTGGGGAATCTGAAGCCCTCTTCTGACCTCAGCATTGCACAACATGGGTGCACTCACATACATGCAGGCAATATACTCATACATATAAAACAGTAAAATATTTTTTAAAATTTTGTGTGTATGAGTGTATTACCTGTCTCTATGTACATGCATCCATGTCGTGTAATGCCCAAGGAGGTCAGAAGAGAGCATCGGATTCTCCTGGAACTTGAATTAGGGAAATTGTTAGCTACCATGTGGGTGCTGAGATTTGAACCCAGGTCCTCTGCAAGAGCAGCCACTGCTCTTAACTGTTGAGTCATCTCTGGAGCCCCATAAATTCTTTTTTTTTTTGTCTTTTTGAGACAAAAGCAGTTTACTGGCCTGGAACTCACAGAGATCTGCCTGCCTCTGTCTCCTGAGTGCTGGGATTAAAGGCATGTGCCACCACAGCCTTTTTTTTTTTAAAGTTTTATTTCGTATGTATGAGTGTTTTGCCTGCATGTAGGTGTACCACGTGCATGACGTGCCTGCAGAGGCCACAAGAGGGTGTCAGATCCCCTGGAACTGGAGTTACTAATGGTTGTTGGCTGTGTGTCTTGGAAACTGATCCAGGTCCTCTGCAAGGCAGCCAGTGCTCTTAACCCCTGAACTATCTCTTCAGCCCCTCCAGATGTTCTTTATACTGTTAGGAACACTGAGGTAAATTGGGTTCCTGCTCTCCAGGAACTCAGTGCCCTAAAGTATTGTCTGGGCAGCAGCAATCTGAAGTAGCAATCTCCCACAGTGATAGGAAGAACACTTCTCAAGGAAGGTGACATTTGAGCCTTTAATAATGAATAGGAATTTCCAGGCAAATATGAGCATTCAGGTTAAAAGAATTCCTGTGTATGAAGACATTGAGTGTTGGGCGTGGTGGTGCACATCTTTAATCCTAGCACATGGGAGACAGAGGCAGGCTTATCTGTGATTTTGAGGCCAGCTTGGTCTACATAGGGAGTTCCAGGCCAGCTGGGGCTACAGGGGAAACCCTGTCTCAAAAAGACCAATAAATAAATAGATAGATAATGAAAGGAAGGAAGGAAGGAAAAAAAATTGAAACCAGTAAAGTGGTAGTGTATGAGATAAACTAGAACACCATGTGGTCTAGGCCTTGTACACAAGCACTTTTAAAAAAAAACTCTGCCAGCATCTTTTCTATTTCAATGTGGGTTTCTCCCTGAGCTACTCTTACAAATTTACTGGCTATTTCAGTTCTCTTATCTGTCCTTAAAAATGATCTTTTCTGGCAGGAGAGCCCTTGGCTAGCATGCAGAAGGATGTGACACTGAAAAGAAATGTTCAGGAAAATTGTCCCTGCTTTTCTTTACCACTCCACATCCTGGCTAGACTAAATGTCTAGCCATTATACATGTACATATATGTTTACATATACATATACATTATATGTTTAGACTACTAGGTGTTATACTGTAAGCTTCCTGAAAGCAGGGATGATGTCTGTCTTGTTAGCAGTTTTAACTCCAGCACTTGGTACAATCTCTGATAATACTACTTAATAAATTAGAGAACAGGTAGATTGAGGCTAAGTGATAGAGGATTTTGGGCTTCAGTTGAAGAGCTGTGGATTTTCTCCTTTAGCAACAGGACTGGTCTGGTGAAGAAGGAACCAAGTGGACAAATGTTAAAGGGAATATTGACCAGATACAGGAGTTTAAAATATTATTTTTATTTTATGTGTATGCATGTATTGCCTGCATGTAGGTAAGTGCACCTGTGTTATGCAATGCCTGCAGAGGACAGAAGAGGCTGTTGGAATCCTTGGAACTGGAGTTATGGACAGTTGTTAGCTGCCATGTGGGTGCTGGGATTCGAACCCAGGTCTTCTACAAGAACAGCCAGTGTTCTTAACCACTGAGCCATCTCTCTAGCCCCCAATATAGGAGTTTAAATGTGCTCACCTTTTGGATTTAGACAGAATTAATGTGAAGACTAAAACTCTCCTCTGGATGGAGCTGGTTTTTTTCTGGGCTGATTTTGTTCTCTTTGGTGCTAAGGACCAAACCCAAAGCCTTGTGCTTTCTGGGCAAGCACTGTACCACTGAGCTAAATCTCCAGCCCTTGATTTTGTTTTAGGAAATAATTTTAAGTACAGAAGACTTTGGTCAAAAATGGTTTCCAAAAGAAGACTGTCAAAATCTGAGGATAAAGAAACTCTGCCAGAAGATGCCTCAAGTAAGTAACCATTTGTTGTTTTATTTGCATCAGATATATGAACAACAGGCAGGGAGAGAGAAAAAAATAAGTTCTGAGCTGGGCATGGTGGTGCACATCTTTAATCCCAGCACTTGGAGGCAGAGGCAGGTGGATCTCTGTCAGTTCAAGGCCAGCCTGGTCTACATAGTGAGTTCCAGGACAGCTGGGGCTACAGGGAGACCCTGTCTCAAAAAGACAAAAAAAAAAAAAAAAAAAAAAAAAAAAAAAAAGTTACTACTTTTCAAGTGCTGACACTTAAGTATGTTTATTTATTTACTTATTCATCTTTTTGATTTATTCATCTGGTCTGCATAGTGAGCACCCACATGGTAGCTAACAACTGTCCATAACTCCAGTTCCAGGGGATCTGACTGCCTCTTCTGTCCTCTGTGGACATTGCACAACATGGGTGCACTTATCTACATGCTAGCAATACACTCATACACATAATTTTTTTTAATTAAAAAAAAATTTTAAGTTTTTAGCAGTCTGTTAATAAAAGGATTGAGGAGTATAAACAAATTGATAGAAATTTTGAGACTGAAAAGAAACTTAGAAAATTGGGAAACATAAATGTCATCCTTTGGAAATACTGTTTTCTAAAAGGGAAGTGACTTTGGAATTAAGTTTATGATGAGAGAGCTGGAGATACAGCTCAGTTGCCTGGCAAAACTTGGATTCAATTCACAGTACTGGGGGGGGGGACAGTTTATGAAAAGGGACTTAATATCTTTGGTTCTTAGTAATGTGCGACGGACCAGCCCAGACCGGGGCAGTTCAGTCTGATGGGAACTGGGTCATCAAGAGGGTGGACAAGGAGTTGGCTAGTGACAAACAGACGCAAAGGAGCTTGATGAAAGTCTGAGTGTAATTTTTGCAGTTGCAAGGTTTGAGATATATACAGCAAAGATCACAAAAACCGCAGAACAGTCATGCTAAGATTTACAGTTCCAGAGATGAAAGTAAAACAATTTTGCCAACACATTTCCCTATCTTATCAACCTGGTACTAGACAGTAAATTCCTGCTTTACTGTGGTTTTTACTGCCAGCCTTTCTCACACACTTAGGATTCTGCTCGGCTTTGTAGTTCCAGGTCAGAATGACCTTAACCCACCAAGCACTTTCAACACCAGCTGTGCCTGATATTACTTTTTTTTTTTCATCATGGTATTTAATAATATTCAAAGCCCACTCTTTTTGAAATACATAATACATTCTTGTTAGCACTAGTACTTGACTCAACTCTGCAACAGAGTTCTAAAACTTACTCCTTCTTTTTAGGAAACCCTTCTATCTATATTTATCCATCTATATTTTTCTTCTAGAAATCCATTATTCCCTGGACTATCCAGCATTAATTCTGCTTAATTACTTCTCACTATGTCTAAAATATCTTTCATTAAAATATCTTTCATTAATAATGGTGCATCTGAACTAGGATGATTAAAGGATTTCAATAAAAGCAGTGATAGCGGTGCCAAGGACACCAGGTGCTTTCTGGGGCCCCAGAAAGCCCAAGATACAGTGACAGTTAGAAAAATAATAGCAAGTAAAAGCATGCCAAGTACACTGCCTGTTACTCAGCACAACCAATTCCAAGAGGTAACCTTCCTTGAAGTTCCAGCCTCAAACCACGGAGGATCTCACGTGGGCTTCATTGGAGATGGCGTGACACACAGTGGAGCATTTTGATTTCACATTGGAGCCTGATTATGACTGAAAGTTTTATTTTTTTGGTCTTTTTGAGACAGGGTCTCCCTGTAGACCCAACTGGCCTGGAACTTGCTATGTAGATCAGGCTGGCCTTGAACTCACAGAGATCTGCCTGCCTCTGCCTCCCAAGTGCTGGGATTAAAGGTGTGCACCACCAGGACCAGCATGACTAAAAGTTTTTAAGGACAGTAGGGAGTGGTCTTCATTCTCCTTAAGGCTTTTAGAGAAAGGAATTAGAAAAAAAAAAGTCAGAATTATATCACTAAAGGAGAAAATGAGATTTCTTTTGTGGAATTAAGTTCCTATTTGTTTTTATTTGTTTTTGTTTTGTATGACTTGAAAGACTTGGGATGAAACAAATCTGGGCTTTGTATTGAAAGATGTGGTACAGAAGAGCCTGTCCATTTTGCTGGTTCTGTGTTTAGATCATTGATTCTCAAATTTTATATGACTCAGAATTGTTACCAGAATAGTTTGTGAGAAAGTCACCTCTGACCTCCAGGGGCACCTGTGCTTATGTGTGCATACACCCCCTCCCCAAAACACACATATACACACAATTAAAAATAAAAATCTCAGCCGGGTGTGGTGGCACACGCCTTTAATCCCAGCACTTGGGAGACAGGCGGATCTTTGTGAGTTCGAGGCCAGCCTGGTCTACATAGTTAGTTCCAGGACAGCTGGGGCTACAGGGAGACCCTGTCTCAAAAAGACAAAAATAAATAAATAAATAAATAAATAAATAAATAAATAATCTTTGGAGAGGCTTTGCAGTGTGACAATGGTGTGATATGGTACCTTCTTGACCATAGCTATACCATGTTAAAGTTTAGGCTGATTCTGGTCTCTGAAATTATCAGGCAGTTGACCCAGGGTTATGGGAACACATGTCAGCAGGACCCCAGTTGTCTTGGGAGCAGGTCCATGTATTCTGGAGTTCACCTGCTAACTGCAGATTTATGGTTTCTGTAGGTTGTGCTTGGCTTGCTTCTACAAAATAGTTGTTGCTTAATAGAATACAAATTGTTAATGGGGCTTTACACCTATAAGCTTGGGAACTTAAACTTTTCACCTAGTTATGGTTTCTCTGTATAAAAGCTTACCCTAGAAATGGCTTGGGGCTACACACTTGGGTTCCGACACCCTTTCCTATTTGCTGGCCAGCAAGACTTTTATTCAGCAAAACTTTATCTGAGTGGTCTTCTCTGGTGAAGCACTTCACAACAAAGAGCACTGGATGCTCTTGCAGAGGATCCAGGTTTGGTTCCCAGCACCCATATGGTGGCTAACAACCACCCATAACTCCAGTTGCAGGGGATCGGACACCCTCTTCTGGTCTCTGAAAGCATTATATACATGGGTGGACTTAACATACATATAGGGAAAATACTCATACACATAAAAAAATTCAGGCTCTGAGGGATAGAGAGATGTGCTTTCTTCTCTTCCAGAGGACCTGGGTTCAGTCAGTTCCTAGCACCCAAGTTGGGTGGTTTATAATCATTCTGTAACTCCAGCCCCAGGGAATCTGATGCCCTCTTCCATGCTCCACAGCCCCTGCATTAATATGCATGAACCAATACTCAGACACACCTATATACAAATAAAAAAAAATAAATAAAAGTCTTTGAAAAAAAATTCAGGTTCAAGCTGGGCGTGGTGGTGCACGCCTTTAATCCCAGCACTTGGGAGGCAGAGGCAGGCAGATCTTTGTGAATTCAAGGCCAACCTGGTCTACATAGTGAGTTCCAGGACAGCTGGGGCTACAAGGAGACCCTGTCTCAAAAAGACAGAAAATAAATAAATAAATAAAAAATCCAGGTTTAGAGAAACCATTCCCAGGATTTTGACTCAGTAGCTGAAAGGCAGTTCAGAACGTGCATTTTAATGTTTTTCAGTGACTGCAATACCATGGTTTGCAGATAACATCTCCAGAGACACTGCTTTAGAGTTTAGGTAGAAAATGCTTCCATGGTTATTTTTGTTTCAAGTGGCATGTTTTGTATTTTTCATTGAAATCCCATTTGATATAAGTGATTTCATTTGATGGCTGTTTTGTTTGTTTGGAAGCTAGTGTTGCTCTTGGAGATAGTTCATTTCACTACAGAATCAACTGTAGCTCAATTCTTCAGGAACACTTCAGGTTTTGTCTTAGAGCTCTTATTCCTTGGTTTGCATTTTAACCTTTACATTACATTTTTTGTCATATTCTTGAAAATTCTTTTTTTTTTTTTTTTTTCCAGAAGCCATGAAACATCCACTTTCCAAAATGGCAAAGAAATCCCATGATCCTAACAAAGTTGAAGAGAATGACAGTGTCTTCTTAAGGTTTCTTAAGACATCCGGACTCACCCTTAAAACTGGGAAGAATCAAAATCAGCTTGGTAATATTTGAAATATATTTTTGAGTTCAGTGAAAGCGCTCAGGACTAAATCATGGTTTTCTGCCCCAGTCTGATTTTGCTGTGATAAACACCACTCAAACCAAAAGCAGCATGCAAAGGAAGGAAAGGGTTTATTTCATGTTACAGCTCACAGTTCATCATATAGGGAAGCTAAGGCAGGAACTCAAGACAAGAACCTGGAGGCAGGAACTGAACCAGAGACCATGGAGGAACACTGGCTCCTGGTTTGCTCCTTATGGCTTGCTCACACAGCCCAGGCCTATCTGCCTAGGGATGGCACCACCCACAGCGGGCTGGGCCCTCCTACAGAAATTAGCAATTAAGAGAATGTTTAACAGACATGACCACAGGCCATTCTGATCTGGGTAATTCTTCAGTTGAGGGTCTCTTTTCCCATGTTACTCTAGACTTGTGTTACGTTGACAGTTGAAGCTAACTGACAATTTCCTAAATAAATAGAGAGGTAAATAAAGAGTAGGAAAGTAGGATTGTCTTCAGTCTTGAGAGATGAATGAGATTGCTTTTTAGAGAATGTTGTTCCTATCTTAATCTTGATTAATTTTAAGTCCTAATTAATAACATGTTAAGTATCTCTAATTCTTTTTTTAAAATTCTTTATTTTTGTTGTTTTTTGTTTTGTTTTGTTTTTTGAGACAGGGTCTCCCTGTAGCCCCAGCTGGCCTGGAATTCACTGTATAATAGACCAGACTGGCCTTGAACTCATAGAGATCCACCTGTGTCTGCCTCCCAAGTGCTGGGACCAAAGGCACGCCACCACGCCCAGTATCATTTTATTTTTGGAAAAATCATTGTGTACTACTAGTAGTCCTTGTGTGTGTGTGTGTGTGTGTGTGAAAATACATTAATTCCTAAAAAGCAAGTACATCTGTGTCAGAATAATTTCAGAAGGAAATACAGAAAGCCATATAAGGCTATATTTCTAGGTCATAGATACTCTGTCTTACTAAGGTTATGGCAGCTTATTTTTAGAACACTTGCCGGTTCACAACTGCCACTTTAATTCTATTACTATAGATTTAGAAGTTTGTTTTTTTTATGAGTGTCAACAGTTAGATTTAGAAGTTTTATCTCTAAAATTAGGTTGAAAATATTTTCAGTAGTGTTATTAGACAAGAAACTTGTCTTTAAGGAAATAAATGGTGATAGATACTGGGGATGATGCTGACCAGCCATCCTTTGTTCCTCATAGGTGTGGATCAAATAGTTTTCCAGAGGAAGCTCTTTCAGACACTGAAGAAACATCCTACTTATCCAAAGGTATGTATTTTATCTGTGGTATTTTTGTTTTTGCCAGAAGTACTGTAGAATTAGGAATTTGAAAACACTGGCACAGAGTTGCGTGTGCTGACAAGAAATGTTAAGCTACAAATCTGACATTTTCTTTGCTCTTCCTTTTAAAATCTCCTTATTAGGTAATAGAAGAATTTGTTAATGGCCTGGAGTCTTACATTGAGGACTGTGACAGTTTCAGGAACTGCCTGTTGTCTTGTGAACACCTGCAGGATGAGGAGGCCAGGTGTGGAGAGTGGGAGATGTGCTCTTTTCCCAGAGATTCAGTCTGTGACAGTAACTGGACTGGGCATGGGGAATGCAGTTTTTTACAGTTTTCTTTTTTATTTATAACTCTCTTTTCCTTAGAGTTTAAACCTAGTCTTAAATGTATTAAATTTGAGAATAGAAGGCAAAGTGCTAGCATGCTTTTTTTTAGAATGAATCCAACCCATGTTGATAGAATTTCATGTCTATCTCCCTTACTAAGAATATCTTCTCATCCTCGGTATTTTTTTCTAACAAGTTTATATTTTGAGCATAATCTTTAAGGGTTGTGTATTAAATCAATTTTATATAAAAAGAATAGTAAAAACATTAAAACAAGGTAAACAAAATAAGAAACAAAGTACTTTTTTTTTTTTTTTTTTTTTTTTTTTTTTAAACATGGGCAATTTTTTTTTACAGCATGGGCACATTTTACTCTAAAAGTCTCATCAAACTACTTCTGGGGATTGACATCTTGCAGGTGAGACCATACCAGCTTTCCTGAGAGCATTTGATGAATGTGATTTGTGGCTTCTGCCTAATTTCAGTGGCTAGAGCACATAGAGAGCTGGGCAAGATTGGAGAGTGGGTTTCAACTGCTCTTCCCAGTACTTTGGTGAGATTAGTCTGGGAAGTCATGTCAGTGTCTTTAAACTGTTCTTATTAGCCTGGTTTCTTCCTCTTCATTCCCTCAGTGTCTGAGTTCTCTTTTTTGCTATTTTTATTTTATATGTATGTGTCTTGCCTGCATGTAAGTATACCATATACATGCAATGCCCATGGAGGCCAGAAGAGGGCGTTGGATCCCCTGGAACTGCAGTGTAGACAGTTGTTAGCTGCCATGTAGGTGCAGGTCCTCTAGAAGCACTGCAAGTGTTCTCCAGCCCAATTTCTCTTGTTTTTCTGGTCTTTTTGAGACAGGGTCTCCCTGTAGCCCCAGCTCGCCTGGAGCTCACTGTGTAAACCAGGTTGGCCTTGAACTCACAGAGCTCTATCTACCTCTACCTTCCAGTGCTCCAATTAAAGGTGTGTGCTATCACACCCAGCCTAAGTTACCATATTTAATAATGTTTTTAGTATCTGGTTATTTTAATTTTGCCATGACAATAGTTTTTTAATATTTTAAAAAGCAAATTATGAATGACTGTATCCCAGCAGCTTATATAAAAATATAGACAATATTCACATGAACATTCTTTAAAAAATTTTATTTTTTTATTTTTTTTTATTTTTAATGACTTTATTTGTTTTATTGCCTTCACGACTCAGTACCAACTTGGTGGTAATGATCTCTTCAGGAAATCTCTTAAGATTTTTTTAAAGTAAAATAGCATGGAGCTATTTTAAAAGCTAAATGAAGTGGATTGTGTAAGTTAGTGTTCATTTATTTGAGGGACATATGAGCTACAGAAGCT